CTTGAGCGTGTCGGTATAGTAATACGCAGGAGGCCATGATAGTACAAAGTACATTGTACCTATGGGTTGTACTGATCAACTTGGAGATTATAGTTTATCGAGATTGTTATAAAGGATAAATAGTTTGAATTTTTACAGGATATATTTAAAAGAAATCAATAAATGAGTTTAGGAAATATTTAACACTAATCGATAAATGGGTTAGGGAAAACATTTATTATAAGGGTAATCGATATAAAAAAAAATGATTAAAAAAGGGTAAAGACCTTAGCAATTGCGCCCAATCATAAATAGCGGAGGCGCTCGGCTAGTAATGGTATAACTCCAGATAATGATTCCTCTCGATAGTAATAAAAGCGGCTTCCAGACGATGTCACTAAAAATTGGATTGTCTGAGGTTTATCCGACATTTGGTGTACCCATCGAGGTTGACTATCATTCATCAATCACCATAGAGAATGTTCAACGGCGAGAATTGTCCGTCTCAAAACATCGCTGGATGTGTCAGCAATCGGAAATGTATATATCACGATCATGGCGTACATTATAAAAAAACGAGTAACGTGTTTTGAAATGTTAAAACCACAAATCGATTGAAATAAAACATATGAAATCAGAGAAAAAATGGATGTTAGCATTCGTTTTTGGCCTGGGCAGTACGTGTAAACTGCAGCGAAACTGGAAGCAGACGCATTGATGCCAGAGCCTACATCATGGTTGATCATATTTAATGTTGGAGCGAATGTCATGATTTTCAAAAAAATTCTTTAAGTGAGAGCGCTTTGTTGAAGTTGGTTGATGAAAGCGTTTGAGATTGAAAAGCCTAGTGTAAATGTTAACGACCTCACTGTCCAGAAATTTTAAGTTTTTGGATTGAAATGATTTGAAAGGCATCAACCCAATTGTAATGTTACCCTTTCGGGAGTATATCCTCAGCAAAATTCGCGATAACTAAACCTTAGCAAATCTACTCTACTAGATAGGAGCTTCGGTTCGTCGGTGTTGACTATACGTAAGATATCAATGGGAACGACCTTACATCCTACCTTTCCGATGCAACAAGCGCTTATGTCACATAAAATCCAGAGCTGCTCTGTGCGAAGCGTGGCTTCGTCGGCGGTGTATTTTATTGTTTTGTCATTAACGAATGTGGAAGCATCTGCCGAGATGGGGACTCCTATTTCAAGGAGTAAGAAAGGTGGCATAAGGCAACGAGGACGTCATGCATCATCAGTCTGTTTTGCCCTTTTGACGGTCAGACACGTTTAGAACTCATAGGACAGCAAAACAATTAGCTATCACTTTTGATGTGATTCTCTTACTGATAGTCAACTAAAGGAATTTTGATTTGTCTTTCGCCCTAATATGTCAAACTCCTATTGTCTCACACTGCCCGCCAACAACCACAAGCATGCCTTTAGCTCCTGGTGCGTTAGCCTTCATGGTACCAGACCAATCCACAAAGATGACGGAGTACCAGTACATTGAGAAGGCATCAATCTCAGACAATATAATAACCGCCATTACCGCAGACCCTAACGAGAATCAATCAAAGAAGTCATTCGACTTGTTGACGACCGTACTTAAATGTTGCGTGGTTCAAAAATTCGAGCGCCGCCTGTGGCCTGCTGCTAGAGATTCGACACAACGCAGTTAACGGCTTACACCTTCACGATGCTCTACTGCGGGACACAGAATAAGTGAACCAATGCAAGCGCAAATCACAGTTGATGGTGCTTTAGCCGGCGATGAATCCGGTGATAACTCGAAAGAAGTTGACAAATGTAGCGATCTCAACGGGGTTGAGGAAGACAGAGACGGTGCCTATGATTGTGGAGACGAAGTTGTGAATATTATAGTTACGTTAATCGTTCTCTTTTTAAGCGACGACGTACGAGTACGCCGCCCGGTTTGGAGTCCGGTTACCAGAGGGGCAAGATCGTGCCCTACTGACGGGTACACAACATGATCAAGTTCAGCAGATCATGGACCAACGAGGGACCCTTCCGTTAGTCGGTGTGTGGGTTCTGGCGGACAGTCGTATACAACAATCTCACAGATTTTGCTGATTACACTACACCATAGCGAGCCAATTCGGTATAGACTGATTATACCATTGACCCAGAAGGTTAATAACCGAGCCATTGTCGGGTTCAACGGGTGTGGTCGGTATAG